GGCCCCCGGTGGTCAACTCACGTCGTGACTTCCTTACTCTCTTTTTTTTTTTTTAGAGTAAGAAGTTTCCTCGCCTTCCTGCCGCGGCGACCATGTGGTGTCAGTGCAGCGTCATTTGGTGTGGGGCATGGTACGTGCACTGTGGTACGTACCGCCAGAGACACGGGAAGAGAGGAAACAGCAAAGGGCCGGGGAAGGTGGAAGGGGCAAGGGAAGGTCACGGACGGCGAGACCACACTCATGACTGGCTGATATCATATTGCAGCGGCCAGTCGAGGACCGTTTGCTCCGGGGCAGATCCCTGATACCTCACACCTTACACTCTAGTCTGCTGGTAGTGTGGTGGAAGGCAAGGTCGTCTCCGCTGCTTCCCGTCTTCTGGCATCGTCTGGAAACCGCGACATCTGCATCCCGCAGGTAGCTCCGATCACATCCCGGAAGGTACGGCCCCACACCTGCCCTCTGCTGCACCTGGTGAGCCTCTACTGACGTCAGATCGCCGGCACCCGTCGAACCCCGTCGCTGTCTAGCCACGTCTGCCACCTTCCCATCGAGTCACATTCTCGAACCAGGTCGACAGTCGCTCTTCCAGCTCATCCGCCGCGCCGTTTTCCTGCTACCGCTGTTGCTGTTGTCATTGCAACACCCCGACACTGCTCTAGCCACCATCTCGTCTCAGGCTGGCAGGTTTTCGTCTCTAGACAAGCCGCAGCTATTCAATACCACGACGCATCCAACACGCTTTTGTGCCGCACACTAAAGGCTCGACGTGCCGACATCAACACCCTCAACGCCCAAACAGGCTACCTCGCCAGGCTGATCCTCCCCTCCAACTCGAATAAGAGACCCCGATCTCATCTGCCAAGGCTGTCCCGGCTGCCGCAGGGCACCTCCGCCAAGTCCAACCAACTTTCAACGTCAACGACACCTGACGCCCAACCTCCACCACCAGCCCGGAGCCGCCAGTAGCCCGCCGACCTTTTACCTCTCCGGGTGCCACCAAAAGCTTCCTATCGAGCTCTTGATTTGTCAACCCGTCTCCATCTTCCCTCCTTCTCACTCCTCCCATCCATTATCAATCGTCCTCTGTTTCCGTCGCACCCGGACGACAGCGGCCCCCATTGGCCTCACCGCATCCGTCGTTCGACAATGTTCTTTTGATTTGCGTCCGATAGTCCGAATTTCTCAGCACCCACCGGCCACCAGCCCGTCACCTGCAGCTGCACCGCTTCCGCGCATTCCGCATCCCAATGAAGTCCAACAGGCTCACCCGCACCGTCTCCAACATATCGAACCTGTCCAAGTCTAGCAAGAACGGCAGCAAGAACGGGAGCAAGGCCAACAGTAAGGTCAATAGCGCCGCTACCAGCAGAGCCGGTACTCCCGACGGTGAATATGAAAATCCACTGGAGAACATCGCTCGTTGGCGCCTGACCGCCAACGCGGTCGCACTGCGCTCCGGGGCCGCCTTTGCCTTCGGGCTGCAGAACCTGTCCGCTCCCGTTCCTCCCGCTGCAAATAGGGTCATCTGGCTAGACTCGACATTGTCAGAATGGTCTGGTCCAGAGAAGATCAGGGTCGATGTCTACCTTCCTCCTCACACCAAGGCTGGCAAGCCCACCGGGAACTTCCCTGCCGTCGTCAACTTTCATGGCGGAGGCTTCATCCTGGGACAAGGAACCGATGACGCCCGATGGGCCGGCGCCGTAGCTTCGGCACTCAACGCCGTCGTCTTCTCCGTCAGCTACCGCCTGGCTCCGGGCTATCCCTTCCCTACCCCGGTGGAGGATGCTGCCGACTCCATCTTGCAGATCGTTGCACGTGCAGATGAGTTCCTCCTCGACAAATCCAAAGTCTTCGTGTCGGGCTTTTCGGCCGGAGGCACGTTGGCCCTCGCCAGTTGGAACCTCCTGCAAGAGCCAGAGAGGTGGGGTTATGAGCTTAAATTCCCGGTCCCCGAAATTTCCGGGATCGTGCTCTTCTATCCGCTCCTCGATTGGACAATCACGAGGCCAATGAAGCGCGAGACATGTGGCAGGCCAGACATGACTCTGCCAAAGGGCATGACCGATCTCTTTGACGCATCCTATGTCTACCCTCCTCGGCCCAGGTCTGAGCGCGACGATCCGCGGCTTTCCCCGGGACTGATGACAGACGAGATGATAGACCGGCTCCCACCCATCCACCTATGCATGTGCGAATACGATATGCTGCTATTGGAGGGACAGAAGTTTGCTGAAAGGGTTCAGACCCGTGGAGGCCGGATCAGCACTCGCGTGGTCGACACAGAAAAGCATGCATGGGATAAGCCGCCACCATTTACACCAAAAGAGAGTGTCATGGTGGAGTATCACAAGGCCATTGACGCCCTTAGAGGATGGCTTGGCTTAGGCGCTCTGGAAAGCGATGAAATATTCGATGGGACGATACCAAGGATAGAGATTACTAACGACAGCGAAGACAGTACATGAGATGATTGGAGCCATGGGCTTCATTAATATGGAGTGTGTAAGTTAGGTTGCTACAGTTTTGTCCTTACTTTTCACTTGGCAGATATCCAATACAGCGTAACGCACTGTTTCATCAACCTACCGAGACTTTGAAATCTCGTGCTAGTGAACAACCAATGCCCAGACTGGTCTAATCGCATTTGACCTGCCAACATGGCATGCGTGATGTCTCACAGCTCCCCATGCAATCCTGCGAGACGACACGTCTGCATAACAGCATCTGCATCCACTCACATGTAGCATCTACACCTGAGCGTTTGTTACATAGTTCGAATCCTCGATAATGCCATTGTTGAATTGATTACGCCGCGCACAGATATTCTTGAAAAGAGAGGAGACGTCCGAGGGCTCTCGGTCCCGAGAAGGGAGGGCCAGCACCCGTGTTGAACCACCCCGCGATTGGACTCGTCAGAAGTCAGTGATCAGATGACTAGGTCACGTTCATCTGGTCAGTGCTTCTCTATCCACGTACTTTTGTTGGGTTTCAGCAAGCGGGCTTGGTGCGTTATTGCAGTTGGTTGTTTGCAATTGTTCTATATTCATTGGCTTGCAAGTAGCATCGGCTGCTCTGTGTAGGTAGGCTTTTGGAGCGGGTGCACGAGTTGCTGTGATCAACTGGGGATTGCCATCATCTTCGTTCGCCCGCTGCCGTAGTTGGGGAGATTGAGGCCAGCGAGTGTAGATTTCGGGTGCTCGTTCTTCCGAAAGAGGCGATTTGGAGACTCTGCCTCCGTGTCCTGCACGCATGGATGATCACCTAGGTCAAGTATATACAGGTTCTCCCATCGGGGATAGATGCCAACTCCTGCTTTCATTCCCGCACTGCAATGATGGAAACTATGAGGATGTTGACCTTCGGCCTCGGCGCCCCGACTCTTGGCCGCGGTGAGAGCATCTTGAAATGTCACGAACATTTGAGACGGTTAGAAACACCGGCAAGCCTCAGTGGTGAGTATAACTTTGGGAGTTCTCTAACTCCAACGGTTGGGTTGAAGGAGTGTGCGAGAGAAATAAAGAGAGAGGGGAGGCGGCAAATGAGTCTTTGATACTTATTTCTTCGGCTTTCATCTCTGAGGTCTTGTTCTTATATGCCTTTTTTGCGCAATAAGACTAGCGACAGGTAGTTGCGCACCTCCGAACGTCGGCAACTCTTTCGATATAAAACAAGGATCGGCCGCCTCCGACTAGGCCTCCATTCTCAAGGGCAGAGGGTCCTTAGCACGATCGCATCGTGGGGTCTGTTACAGGGATCGGCCGCCACAGTATGGAGTTGAGCTAGCGGCCCCGGTAAGAGTACATCCTGACTATTTGATCCGGAGTATACCGCATACTGTATTTTAGCACACCAAAGTGCTTACCATACTTGCTTACTCACTGGATTTACAAATTGCTCTCATAACTACCTATGGGATGGTTGCTTGGTTTGATTAGCGGAGGAGTTAAATCTAGCCTTGGTCTAGATTTTGCCGAATGGGACTTTTGATAGGCAAGATGGCTTTTGGAGTTCCAGCGGATCGCAAAGGTGATGGGCTTCTGCGGCAGAACGCCTCTTCAGCCATTAGCCTGGAGTACGGCCAGCGTGGGACTTTGAAATCAGGCTGACACGCTGTTCGACATACTATTCTGACTCTGAGGAACGTATACTGGAGGCTCCATTTAGTCGAGACCTTGCCGAGGTGGCTTGACACTTGCAAGACGGCACCGATACACCAACGTTGCCACTTGGCTCTCGGCCCGGTCCCGCTTTTCAATATAAAAACTGGCTCGCGCTGGGCCCTAACAAGCAAGTCATTTTTGGACCTTTGGTTCAAGCTTTTTTCTCGCTTGTGACTGGCGAAAGCGGCTCAGAGAACCCCTGGAACGGCAACACAGTCATCCACGGTGCCGCGTCAGACCTGCATCGTGCTTCCGTAACAGGCACGATCTGGGCCTCGGGACCCTGCTAGCCTTACGGGGCTGGGGGGAAACGAATGAGGTGGTTCCCTTAGGTGATCGTGAGCCTTGTTTGGCGGGGTCCGTCATCTGGCTCGGAGGTTCGTCACGACTTCGCTAGTTCTTACAGCGGTTGACCGCTTGCTGCTTTGTAAGGGCGAGGTCGGCCGCCCGGCCGCCGCGGTGAGATCTAGTCGCTGGGGACAGGATCTGAAGATGGATACGGTACGTTGAGTATGGAACTTTGGTGTTTATACTGCGGTCGTGTTACTGGGCGAAGTGCTCCTACCGGATTCACCTACTGTGTATCCTCTCACAGGTCGGGCGATGTTCAACATAGGACTTTGATGCTGACCTCTTGCGGAGATAATACTTTGTGGGCAAGTACTTACAATATCCAGTTGCGAAAATTGAAGTCTTAGTCCTCCACAACGAGGCCATCTCATATATAAAGCAGCTCGAGACCATCATCCATCACACTTCCTTTCCTCACTCCAGTCCTCAGCAGCTCAGGCCAGTCAAGTCCACAACCACATGCCTCCAATCTATAATTCCACAATGGTCAACTTCGTCCTCGGCGCCGTCGCCACCCTGGCCGCTGTGGCCCCCCTCGCTGCCGCCGCACCCGCCGCAACTCCGGCCCCCGAGATCTTCTCCTTCGCCAAGTGGGTCGACGGCATCATCGCCAACCCGCACGGCGACAACCTCACGCCCGAGGAGGCGGTCGAGGCGTACTACAAGTCCGTCAACGCCTCCGAGGCGGCTGCCTTGGATTGGGACTATGGCCGCGCTCGCAAGCGTGACGATGTCACTGAAGGAGCTTCCCCGGAGTGGGATTACGGCAAGCTTGACGATGTCACTGAGGCAGCTGCCACTCCGGACTGGGACTATGGCCGCGCTCGCAAGCGTGAAGATGCCGCTGAGGCAGCTACCCCGGACTGGGACTACGGCAAGCGTGACGATGTCACTGAAGGAGCTACCCCGGAATGGGATTACGGCAAGCGTGACGAGGTCCCTGAGGCAGCTTCCCCTGACTGGGACTACGGCCGGGTTCGCAAGCGTGCCACCTGCAACACCATCGCCGGCACTCAGGCTTCGGTACGGTTCTTCGCGATGCCCTCTGGAAATACTGAAGCGGTCACATGACTGACTCTTTGGATTGATAATAGGTCGCCGACGCCGTTTCGTGCATCAACTACCTCGCCGGCCTCGGCAGCACATCGTGCGTTGTCTCCAACGCGAAGAGCCACTTCTGCACCATCGGCAATGCGCAGATCACGGGCGTCACTTCGGGCAGCATTCCCGCAGCCTCTTCCTGGTAGGATCCTTCCTCCCCTGCACTCTCAAAACCCCTAAGAATTCCTATGTTTGGCCCGAGTCGAGTAGCATTTTGGTTGAATAAGGAGAGATATGCTGACGGTGTTTGCCCCTGATTTAGCAATGATGTCGCCCGTGGTGCTGGCTATATCATGGACGCGTGCACTCTGAAGGACAACACTGTCCAGGGTTCTGAGTTTGCGTACGGCAACGGGGATCTCCTCGTCTGGATCCGCAAGCCTGAGTAATCGCATTGAATCTTGAATTGTTCAATTGTGGCAATCGCCTTATGAGGTAGGCGATGTGGCTGCTTGCGAAATACGCAACTGCTCATAAAGAGTAGGCAGGGGAAGTTGAAAGACGGGTTGGACCGTACATAGCAATTGGTGGTGATAGACACAGTTATCTCCTCGTTACTTTCGCTGCATATATATACTACAAATCTTTTTCACGAGAGTGTGAAATTCTTTCATTATTCATGTGATAATTGCTTGAATATGTACACTATTAAGAACCCTTAGGTGGTGCAAGTACTACACTGGGACAGTTTAGTGAAGGAAAGCACTCGCCGCGGTCAGGTTCAGGCCAATGGTCACATTGCCCAGAACCGAGCTGGCGAGCCAGTTCCCAACATACGAGTTCACATCCTCAGGCTTCTCCCACATCACCCAGTGAGTGCCGTTCACCTCACCCCTCGACAGGCTGTTAAAGTACGTCTCCATACCCGTCGACAGCACTGGGGGCAGCGCTGTATCCAGCGATCCACCGATATACAGCGCGGGCTGCGTGTACTTAGCCGTGTATGACGCATTCGCCGGCACCAACGCCAGCTCGTCCTGCCAGTTGAGCTCGCCGGTGCGGTACCAGTTAAGCGTCCTGTTGAACGGGTCGCTGACGTAGTTTTCGACGTAGTAGTCCATCTCCTCCGCGGTTAGCAGTGGTGTGTCTTCCGTCACCTCGTCGAGCAGTTCGAATGTGAAGCCCGCGCCGCTCGAGTTGAATGCCGATCCGCCGCCGGGAAGTCGGACGCCGTAGATGGTGTTGAGGATCTGGCGCACGCGGGTGGCGTTCTGGGCCTCGGGGAGGCCGATGTAGTCCTGGACGGCGTCGGTGCGGAACTGCTGCTGGTAGTGCAGCGTGGGCAGGGCGACGGCCTGGTCGATGTATGTGAGGCGCGGGGCCGCGAAGGGCGTGCTGATGACGAAGAAGGCGGAGATCAGCTCGGGGTGCCAGAGGGCGGCGCGGTAGACCACGGCACCGCCCCAGTCGTGGCCGCCGAGGATGATGCGGGAGAGGCCGAGGTGGCTTGCGAGGGCGGCGATGTCGTCTGAGGCGCGCTTGAAGGTGCTGGGCAGGAACGGTAAGCATATTTCCAGAGTATGACATGTTATGAGTCTCAACTCACTAGAAGCTGACATCTTCCGGCGCATCCGTACCGCCGTAGCCCATCATGTCAGGAGCGACAACCCGGAGGCCTTTTGAAAGAAGGTAAGTGATCTGGTTGCGCCATCCCAGCGACATATCAGGCCATCCATGGATGAGGAAAATCGTGCCGACGACATTGCCTGAAGCCGGCTCTGCCAGGATGTAGTTGTACTCGACGCCGTTCAGCTTGGCGGTCTGGTACTTGACCCGAGGGTCATTAAGAGTTACGACAGACATCACGGCAAGCTCAAAAAGAATGTGAATGCAGTTGGTGGTGACGCCGGTGTCGAGCGTAAACAAAACAATCCCATATCGGCCGAGGGGTCCCCGTCCACTATATACAAACACTACCAGGCCACTCAGGTTCCTCGGCTGACACCATTTTGCATTGGGTAATAAAGCTTAGCAGAAAAAAAGGCGTGCCTCGGTTGCACCTATTGTGGATAGAAAAGCCGTTTTCTTTGAGATTGCCCAGATGATGCCCCTTTCTGTGGTGCTATTTGTGGAGTGACATGGGCGAAATGTTCCCTCGGAATACCCAGAAACAGCTAGGAACAGTGGCAACGCAGCGAGGACAGCCCGGGACAAGGTTAATTAGGTGTAGCGGGGCCTCCGACTGGCGTGGATTTGGGGTAGGGGTTGTTTTGATGCGTCTGACTCGGGCCGGGAGCAGACGACGTCAATCCAAGCTCGTTCTCGCACACCGGGTAGGGCGCGATATGAAAAACACGAGAAATATTGGAGATGCGCTTACTGTTTTCATGCTCTCGTGGGCAGCCGAGTGTGGTCTTCAGTTGTAAGGGGCCCAGTCAAATGGCTGGCCTCGTGCAACTTAGGAGAGACATGGATGGGAGAAATGTTGAGATGCGAATTCTGTTGACGCACCGCACCTCGCGCACAGTGGAACAAGCCGCGATATCAAATTCGTCTCGGCGATGAGGTTCAACCATTGCCTTCTGCATTTAGATGCCGAGGATCAATTTCACCTTAGACATATCTGAGTCAACGCCGAGGTTCGAGGTTCAGGTCCCGAGGAGCCATTAACCGCTAGCTCATGCAGTGCAACGGCACAACCTCGACAAGATCCGCGGCACACTTCAAAGGATTCTTCGACCCAAATGGCCAAGACCATATTTTTATGCATTACTTATGGACACCCGCTGAGTCTGGAACTTGAGGTTCAGCAGCCCGATCTTCACTACTCAAGGCTAGATCAGGAAGAACTCTTCTACACATTTTTAGACTACCCTTCTTGAGCAATTGTATCGACCCAGACAGGTACTGAAATATCAAGGAAACTGTACTGGAATCAAGTTGACCGCTGCAATGAGCCATTCTAGCGGCCGTCAACCTTTTGAGGCAGCCGATCAGTCCAGCGGCCCGTACCGCGGAGGCATCTGAAACTCCACATGGGGTTTGTTCTTCAACTCCTCCGGCACCGGAGGCATGACCTCCATTCCTTCCAGCAAAATGACCTGTTGCCCGCTCTGCCGTTGGATTCGTGTTAGTGACCGAGCGACTTTACAACTTGAGAGATCAAGGCTTACCGCGAAATGATGGATCATGTGACAATGCAGCATGCTGACAGCAGGAAAGTATATCTTGTAGCGGACCACGACGAACTTTCCTTCCCCCGCTTGCAAAGTAAATCCGTCTCGGTAGGGCGGATTATTCAAGTTGAAGTATTTTCCGCCTCCATGCTTGATGGCGTCGTCGACATCTTTCCAAGGAAAACCGCCCTGCCCCTGTCCGATGATGAAGACTTTGTGGTTGTGCTTGTGGAAAGGGTGGCTGGCGTCCACTTTGGCTCCATTCTCAATGATCAAATCGACGACGGATCCGTTTTTGAGAAATCCATGTGGATTCCCCCATGACGTTTTGCCGCGCGACTTTTCGTTCCATAAAATGGGAGGGACATTCTGACGGAAGAACTCATGTGGTGCGGCATTGAGAACCCACGTTGATGGTCCCGTGTTGTTGACTGTGAATTTGAGCGTGAAATCCGCTTTCTGAGGGGGCGGTCGAGGTGGGAACGGTGATAGCTTGGTTTCGTCCATGACCTTGTTCGCAGGATCCACAAGACTACCGTTCAGATGTAGCCACGGTTTGGTGTTGGGGACTGTTCGATTGGAGGCCTTGGATAGATCCTGTGAGAAGTTCTCGTTAGCTTGACTCATTTCTCCCACCGCTCATCAGCTGCCATGTCGATTCGATCTAACCTTCGTTGCTGCATACCGCAGGATACCGGCTCCCTGGATCATTTGCTCAGATCGTAAAGAATGCAATCTCAACGCATAGTCTCCAGCAAGCTTGTCCAATTTGACTAGAATGCTGCATAGGAGACGGATCAGTAGTTCGAAGCAGAAGGTGAGTGAAGCGCATGGTTTGGGGCTCACCTCGTTCTTTCGCCGAGATTGACATGAGTTCTAACCACTTTCTGCGGATGAACAAATTCGCCATCAGCCCCTACAACCCAGAATTCATGCTCGTCAATACTGATGGCCAAAGAATGATGAGCACCAGAATGGATGAAATTGATCCAGATCCATTCTTCTCCGGGATTAGCTTGGATGACTTCCAGTTCTGGATGTGTCTCGGTGCAGTATTCAGGGTTGGTGTACTCATGGCCAGGAATCATGTAGCGACAGCCCCGCTCATTGCGCCCAGGTCCGCCAGCATCTTCGAGGTCACGACCAGACTCGCATCGCGTGCCACCCCTCCCGTTGAGAGTCAGACTGTTGGCGCATATTGGGATATATCCGGTGTCACGGAAACGGATGAGATACATGTCCATTGGCTGATCCATCCAGTCGGCAACTATGACGTGTTGTGGATTGCTCTCCGCTGCTCGCATGGCCCGGATATCGTGCTCATTGTCAGATATGAGATGGTACGGTCGAGGACGCCAGGCAGCTGGCACGATCCAAATAGGACCTCTTTGGCCCTGATTACATCCAGGTCAGGCTGATCGACGGGTTTCAAGCGAGAATAAGTAACACCTACATCAGAGAAGGCGGGGCCAAAGTGCCCATGATAGAAGTAGCTTCCATACTGCCCTTCAGGTGTGAATCGATAGGTGTAGTTGTCTCTGGGCTCGGTGGCCCACTTCGTATTATTAGATGACCGGTGACTGACGCAGGTGATGTTTAAGGGAATGCTTACCTGGGTAACGCCTGGTACGCCATCGTTCCAGGGCTCGTGAATTTGGTAGATACCGTGCCTGTGTGACCTTAGATGTTGTCTTATTTCACGAAAAGTAGTCTGCACAAGAGTATACCAGTGAATGGTGGTTTCAATTGGTAGTTGATTGTCCACGAATGCTTCGAGGGTTTCTCCTTCTTCAACAGTAAGTACGGGCCCAGGAGTGTCTCCGTTGATCAGATAGGTCGGACGACCATGACCATCTGCGTCTCAGTCAGAAAGAATAACTGAACAGCGTCAATCAGGTCGCACCTTGCTTATCCCAAGCATACGTTAATGTGAGGTTATATCTTCGGACTTCCTTGCTCAAGACCACAGCAAGCGCTGACAGAAAGAAAACCACGACTCTGACATGCATCATGTCAAAAACGCTACTTAAATTTCATTCACTAAATGTCCTGGCACCTTTTGGAAGAGCCTGATGAGGGCGATAGTAGGATGGACTCAAAATTCCCTGTATGATGTTTGGCACCGGTGTAAGTCGAGCCTCTGCTGTGGTTCTGGCCATACTACCTGCACCACACGGTCGGCCCCCAACTCACAGTCGAACCTCCGATAGCTTCTTAGAGATCCGCGTCAACTATACCACTCTCTCTAGATCAGTAGTCTCCATCCCGGCCCATCAGGTGCCGGTGCATTGACGACAATCCCACTAGCTCCGGGATGAAGCTTCAGGTCCGAGTCATTCGTACCGGCACGGAACCCGAGTACTCCCCGGGGTAGGGATCCAAGCTGTGGAGTAATCCGGGGAGTCGCAGTGTTCATGCGGGGGGACAAGCGAGGTTCAGTAAGTGCCATTCTGGGAAACCATCGCAACTGCATTGTTTCATTGATCGAAACTAGTATTTCCGAGTCCTTCGGACTTTACATTGAGTGAGTGGTGTTGTGACCCAAGGAGACTTTCAAAATCCTATCCCAGCAACCTTTCATGAACAAACTGTCACAAGCGTGGCTCCACGTAATTGTCAGGGTTGCTGTCCAAGAACTCATTAACCCTGGCCGCGTTATTCTCAGCATACTGCCAGATGGACGCGTGTCCAGCACGAGGCCAAATGACTAGCATGCAGTTGGGTATCCCATCCAGAAGCTCATAGCTCCTTGGAGTAGGGACCAGGTAGTCATCGTCGCCCGTCATAACGAGCACGGGCATTGTTAGCTCGTGAAGCCTGTAGTACGAATGTTTGTTTTTGTCACCCGGCGCACACCAGTTCTTGATACACGACAACTGTATCATGAAGCTTTCCACGTTGTTGAAGGTTGGGAGTGCTCCATCGGCAGCATTTTCGTTGAACTCACTCTGCCGCAGGCGTTTGAAGTAAGAGTCGGCGGCCGCTCTACCTTGGTCATCATTGCGAAAGAAAGTCAGAGTGTAAGCGACCTGCCAGTCCGCCTCAGAGGCACTGCGCTGCAAGGACAGGAAACGATCCAGGTTCGGGTCGGTCCGGGGCCAAAAGTGGTCCCCTGGCGTTGGCCCGGAGGGATCAGCTCCGACTAGGATCAGGCGCCTCACTCTATCTGGCTTTGATAGCGTTGCCATTTGGCAGGCCATGCTTCCGATGGAGAAGCCAAGCAAGTCAATGTAATCGAGAGACAAGGCATCAAGGAATGCGTTCAAATCATCTCCCATGATATTTACTAGGGAGCATGGATCAGCTGACGGCTTTATTAATGATCAAGGTAGAGGAGCACATACTGTCGATTGGGGTGCGTTGGGTGTCGCCAGTGGTCTGTCCAACTGCCGGCGGGTCGAACATGATGACCGGGCGCTTCATAGCAAGAGGGCGTATGAACACGGGATCCCAGTAACCCATCGAGGCCCTCACCTGAAAATCATCAGCTATCGGTCCTGGATCCAGCGAGTGCCACTCACATGCATGTGCAACACGAGAGGGATACCCTCGGCGGGACCAAGTCGTCGATAGGCATAGACAATGCCATTCTTCGCCTCGACCTTCTGGACAGGGACGTAGGTGGGAAGCATGCTGGTAGTGGATAGCCCAACGGAGATAATTGTTCAGTAAGTGGCTCGGGTGAGAAACCTGGGTAATGGGAACGTCTTGTGGCCTGTTTTGATGTTTGTAATGAGTGACAGATGGTTGTTTGCTGGAAAACTCAACTATCTTTGTCGATAAGACCCCACCCTAACTTCCGAAACACCCCCACTTCTGAAACAGCACTTTTGATGCATTTTAACCTTCGCTATAATAATTATATTTTTATATATCGCTAAATATCTTAATTAATCTATAATAAAAATATATAATTTTATACTCTCTTTATTATCTAATAATTTGCTTTTAGATAATACTAATTTCACTTAATTTAAGTTATTTTATACTTTTTATTTCTTCTTAATTATCTACTTAATTACTATAAAGCGTTTATTTATATCTAGCTTAACTTTAGCTTATTTTTTTAGCTATAATACTTTAACTTAAGTTTTTAAAGACTTAATTATTTACTAATTATTAGTATTAGATATATTATTAAGGTTTAAATACTTACCTAGCTTCTTAATAAATAGTATATATACTATTAAATTAATAGCTCTTAATTCTAACTATAAATTATTATAAAATAGCTATTTAAACTATAGTAAATTAGTAAAAGATTTAAATATTTTAACTATAATATTTTCTAAAGTTATAATAACGTTCTAATTATTTATAACTACTTCTTTTTATAATAGTACTCTTAGAATATCTATAGAAGCTAAAATAAAGATAAATTTATTTATTAATAACTTAATAATATTAATAAGCTATAGTTCTATTACTATTTATCCTATTTTAATAATATATAATTATAAAGCTTTAGATCTTATATATAAATAATATTAAAAGAAGTTCTACTTATTAATTAGTACTAAATTTAATTAGAAGTTCTAATTTACTAGTTAATACTTATATAATATTTTTAGAAATAAGAAGACTAATATATTAAGTAACTAAATAATATATAATAAGTATATAAATAAACATATTAAATAAATATTATATATATAATATTATTATATAAAATTATTAGAAATATAGCTACTATAGCTATTAATAACTAATAGACGTTTAGATTATAATCTCTTTACTTCTATAGTAGTTTTTAGTATAAATATCTTATTTAACTACTTAAGATTAATAATATTTAATATCTAGCTATTTACTAATAATATAAACTACTACTTTTTAAACTCCTATAAATTATTAAAGAACTACTATTATTAAATAATCTTATTTTTAAAGATAATAAAGAGAGGTAAATATATACTAATAATAGAGATATACTTAATAATTATTATCTAAATATAGTTTTTATTACTTTAAATAAATACTAAAAGCTTTTTAGTATATTTTATTACTAAATAATCCTTTTATAAACCTTTAGTAATACCTATTTTATCTATATTCTATTTAAAGCTTATTAGGATTATTTTAACTCCTAGAAGTTAGAAGATCTTAAAGAATAACTTAATATTATTAATTATAATATATTTTATATATTTAATATCTATTCTCTAAGCTTTTATTATTTTATAAGATAGGTTATAATATAAGAAACCCTCTATTTACTTCTTACTAAGAAATTAAATATTACTACTAATATAGAAGATCTAAGTTATAAAGATTTAAATATATTAATAGTTTAAAATAAAACTTAATAACGCTTATATAAGAACTTATATAATAAAAGAAGCTTCTTACTATACTAAGATATATTACTAACTTATATAAACTTTTTTTTTAAACTTTTTATTATTAATTCTATAATAAATAGTAAGATATAATATATTTTACTCTTTTAAAGTTTATTAATAAGATTTACTACTATATATAGCTATAATAGCTATAGAGATATAATTCTTATTATATATAGCTATCTAGAGCATAATAGTATTTTTAAAAATATTAATATTAATTATAGTAGTTAAGAAAGAAGAAGATAAAATTAGGGATATATAGGTAGTAGTACGCGAAAACGCGGTTTTTGACGCGTTTCGGAAGTGGGGGTGTTTCAGAAGTTAGGGTGGGGTCTTATGCTTTAGGGACTGTCACGGCGTAGAGCTACTGTTTGCAGTGAACAAGGTTCATGTCAGTGATTCGTCAAGCGATACTATCGTATTTTTCGTGTCAGTAGGGGCACATCTTGAGCATTAAGGTTCTTCTATATGATCAGAGGCAGAAAGTATATTCCAGCAGAAGTCATCCGAGCCTGAATAAAGTCGTAGACTGCATGCAAGCGAATAATCGTGCAACATTCTATTACGACGAATATCAATCCACCCTCTACCAAAACTAAGTACAGGCGGTAAGTTTTCACGAAAAGATCGATGATCATAAAATCAACCAGAAACTCTTTGTCAGAAGGGACAAATGAAAACTATCATTGGGCTTTGCAGTTGAAGTTCTTGAGTCATACATAAGGCATCGAAAATGATGGCCTGCGTGTCATGGAAACCGATGGGATGCCGAAGGGACGCCGCAAAACACACACCGCATTATGAGCCAGTCGGGTGGCTCCGAGGAACTTTATTTCGTTTGGTTTACGTCCAACCATGCACTCACCCACCGAGCCAGCTTCCTTTGACTTTACGTTGCGTATCGATCAAACCATTCTAGGTAAAGTAAGCGCCTGATAATGTTGTTGTCCATTGGGCTGTGCGAAATCAACTCCGAGCGTCTTGCAATTCGAGGTTGTAGCACTTCATGTCCAACATAAACTAGCTGGAAGCTTATTGACACGAGGCGGGCGCGGGCAGAAAGAATTCGGCGTTTAACTACCTAAAACAGCACTATTCTAGGCAAATTGCCCCGTGTGCCCAAGCTTAACCAAACACTCCATCATTCTTCGGCGCGAATTCAACATGCGGCATGTGCTTCACATGGTCTGGCACCTCGTCCCGCATGCTTGAGTTCATGCCCTCCAGCAGGGGTACAGACATGCCCATCTGAATGCGGGGTCAGCCGGGGCCGGGGTCGCGTAGAAGGAGAATAGGAGAGAGGCCGAACTCACCGCGTAGTATTTGAACTTGTTGGAGTGTAGCATGGTGGCCCCACGGACCCGAATCTGCCACCGGAGTACTGCCCAACCCAGGGGTGGCACATCATGAACCAGCTGCAAAGGGGGATCTCGGACATTGAGGTGCTTTACTCCGGCTGCGAGCGCATGTTCCACGGTGTCCCATTTCCAGGTTGCGTTGGGCTGGGAACCGACAAGGAAAATGGGGTCGCCGTGCTTGTAGAGTGGCATCACTTCGTCGACTGTGTTCTGGACTATCACGTCGACTGTGGTTCCCCACGGCAAACCACCCACCACGGGGGGCTCCACGGCCGAGACGTTTTCAACGAATAGCAGCGGTCCCATCTGTGAGTGGTACAGTTGCCAAGGCTTCTGGTTCAGAAAGAATTCGGTAACGTGTCTCTCGTACCGCGAAGGCTGCTGGTCAATCTTGAAGTGAAGAGTGCGATTAGCCTTTGGGGGTGCAACGAGCGCGTATGGTGCCATAGATGCCGTCGACGCCATTTTGCATGAGGGTGCAACCACGCCATCGGGTCTTACACATGGCGGCGAGCCGCTTGGTGGATTCTGAATTTCCATCGGCGCCCCATGAGCTGGGTAGCGCAACGCCTTGGAGACTGTATGTTAGCCTTGCTGAAATGATGTTTGATGGAGTAAACTAACGGGATATCTCAGAATCGAATACCCATGGAGGTTTTGATATTTGCTGGTCGATACGAGTCGCATCGTGTAGTCGTCGCCTGGTTGATCCAGCTTTACCAATACAGTGTAGCGGGCGCCGTTCGTGATGTAGAGAACGTCGACGAGCTTAGGCCTGATGAAGCCGCCGTCGTTTGCAACAATCCACATCTTGTGGTCGTCAATGCTGAAGTATACGGCATGTTCGAATCCAATGTTGAGAATATTGAGCATAATCCAAGGTCGCCCGTGGGTTTCGATCACCTGCAATCGCTGTAAGTAAACGAAGAGCTATTGTATGCGCAGCTGAAGGCCAAAGCACTTTACCTCGTAGTCAGCCTTACTGGGAGTGCAGCGAACTCCATCATTCCCTTTTTCAATCACACACCCTGACGCATCCAATAGCTTCCCGTCCAGTTCAGTGAAGTCGGGATGACGGCAGTGTCGTCGACCTTTGGAGTTAACGAGGATAGAATCGTAGCAATTCAAGTTTGTCCCTTCCCCTTTCAACTCCATAACCCGCCACCCAGCATCTCGTCGATAGTAGTTATAAACCAGCATGTGTTGTGCATTCCGTTCTGCCTCGTGAATGAGGGATAACTCTGTGGGCGACGAAGTTATTTCGTGATAAGGACGAGGGCGGTCGGGTGCCGGCGCGACGTAAGTCAGTCCGTGGGCCCCGTCCATGATCCCCAGGCCAGTATGGTCGGCATACCAATTCAGTCCCCAATGTCCTGTGGTATCATAACGGGAGGTGAAGTTCCCTCGTTGTAGGAGTCCATACTATCGACCCGGTCGGCGCAAGTCAGACAGACAATAAAGAACGGGTTTTAATCTTACTTGGTTAAGGCCTCCAGTTCCGTCGTTCCAGAACCCGAATCTGCCAAAATATTTCAGCTCAGTTCATGAGGCACACCGTTGTTGGGAAACAGTCACCAGCTTACTTTCGATGATTCATTCCTGACCAATGGATAGACACCTGGGCAAACAGATCATTGTGGACGTTCAACTCAACAATATCTCCTTCCTCGGCATAGAGGGTTGGGCATGGTGTTTCTCCATTGCAAACATAGAAACCTCTCCAAAGACCACCATCTAAACAAACCTCAGCATCAGAAATGTCTATGCCTGACGGTGAAATTCAGATAACGAACCTAGATTCAGCCATCGAGCTCCAACTGTAAGATTGTATCGTCTAATTACTTGTTCGGCGGGCTTGACATGCGGGCCCACGCCCACATCCGAGAAAAGTTCGTTGCGGTCACTGACAGGCCGAATATTCCACCAAATCAGCACAAAGAGGGCGATAATCGACCCAAAGAGGGGCCAACGAGCTGGTCGTGAAGCTGGGGCCACGATTGAAGCTCGGTCCCTACGATAGCTCCTCGCCTGACTCTCACCACCAACAACTGCGCCATTGATTTCATCACACTTCATAGAGGATTCCATGATGGGTGCTTTTCTCACCAAGAGACTGAGGGTCAAAAAAGAATAGCTGTGTCCTTAGATACGGAGCCCGCGGGCGATATCTCACAGACAGAAGATAAATTCTTGGCTTGAGTCTCCTAGGCGCAAAACACCTGGCTGTCGTCCAACGAAAGAGAGATCGCTCCGTCTCAGACTCAAGCTAAGCATCTAGCCTAGTCTATTTTCCATCATTGCTTTGGTACCCTTTGCTGCCCAAGGTGGGTGTAAACATGGATCAACACATTACTCGCATTGATGCACGGCAGAGGCAAACCGAACGAACAGCTCTGTGGCCATCGCGTGCCTCCCACACAAGCCGGGATGAAGCTAATCCAACAAGAACTAAAGTTTGACGACAATTGTTGGGATGGAAAGTCTTGGGAAACCTTGCAAATCATCTGAAATAACTTCCAGATCTAGTTAGTTTTCCGGCGAACAGAATTCTGTCACTTCAAACATGGCCTCACGAGCTAGCTGCCGAGCATTTGTCTGCAGTCAGAATCTTTTCCATGTGCGCACCAATGGGACCGGGATCGAGCGTAGGTTCTACAACATCATAACGTAATACCACAACTGCGGACTTGTCCGTGATCAGCTGGTAGTAGCAATATCCGAAACTTTGAGAACTTCAAGAAATCACGACATCAACCCAAATTGTTCGGAGGTTTCGCAAAGTAACAACTTCGTTCAGCGCTCTTGACTCGAGAGACTTCCAGTTCAACAGCTGAAGCTGATCCTTGCAGTACCATGTCCGTAGTACGCGAGGACCTGGTCAGGTAATGGCTCAGCCGACCTCACGCGTGGGATCCCGCCGACCGCGTCAGACAAATTTTGGTAGCACCTTTGAATCAACTTCTTCTCTCTAAACAACACAACCCAAGCAAAAGGGTTTGGGAAGATCATCACAATTCGCTTTTAGTAGTGAGAACCTACTTTGATTCGCGACGATAAAGATGGAATCAGCTTCAGTAGTTAGGATGCCACTTTGGGACTCGGTGAGTTATACCAAATATCGTGACAAGCTTGTCTGCTGAACGCAGTAATCAGCCATTCAAAGACAAAACGAAGTCTCGAGTTAGCAGAACTAAGATCAACACGAACGGAAACTCGCGGAACAGCCTAGTCACCAAGTCGGCGCTATTATCAGTGTCGAAATGGCTGCCACCGAGGGACGAGCACAGCGACTACTGGTGGAGCATGGTTGGGCCTCATTTCGCTGCTCTTTTTCGCAATGCGGACTACAGTCTGGAGGCCCAATATGAATTTCTCCTTTTCATCTATCACCAGGTAGCCCCGCGACTGGGCTCGTCTCCTCGCGTGCTTGCATTGGGCTCAGCAAAGGGTGACAGCGGGCTTTCTCTGGATGGAACACACATTGAGTACAGCTGGAGATGGAATGATCCCGGCACGAAGCCTGAAATTCGTATGGTTATGGAGCCATTCAGTCGATTTGCGGGCACGTATATGGATCCTCTGAACATCAAACCAGCGACGGAGATGCTGTACTCCATGGCACCCCAAATTCCGTCTCTCGACATGAGCTTGTTCAATCATTTCATCGGGAAGTTTTACGACGCAGCACAACACAAATACCTGGAGACTAATGAACGCCCAATCATGACAAATGTATGTCTCGGGTTCGAGTTTCTGGGGAACGAGATCCTCCCCAAGGCATACTTCTTCCCGCGCAAGCTCGGTCAAGTCGGCCTTACTCCCATGGCCGTCTGGGAAGATGCTATCACCTCTACAGTCCCCGATACACCAACCATCGGCACTGTTTTCTCCTTTGTCAAAGGAGAGGCGCCAGACTTGGGCTTGACACTCACACCACTTTGGTTGGGCATCGACGTTGTCCGTCCAGCGGATGCGCGCCTCAAGCTCTACTGCGTCGAGGCTCGCACGTCGTTCGAAAGTGTCAAGTCCATTCTAACAATGGGTGGCAAGATTGACGTCCCCGGCAATCTACTTGAAAAGGCCTGGGAGTTGATGAAGGCTGTTTGCAATCTCCCTGCAGACTTTCCTCAGGATGAGGATCTCCCCAAAGCACCCCAATACAACGTTTCAACCGATGGCGTTGACACTGCGGGCCTTTGGGGAACCTTTGCGTACTACTTTGACATCGGACTTCGTCAACACGAGTTACCGGACGTGAAGTTTTACATTCCAGTGTGTCACTACGGCGCAGATGATCAGGCAATTGCAGAGGCAATCACCAACTGGATGGTAGATAATGGTCGAGGTCAATATGTGGACGCATACTGGAGTTCTCTTCGCAATATCATACCGCACAGGGATCTGAAGGAGTCTCGCGGTGTTCACATGTGGGTGTCGATGATGATCAGAGGGGGTAAACTGCAGGTTACGACATACATTGCACCAGAGGGACACCATCCCAAGCGCCACGGAGGGGCTGCAGGAGTGCACAGAGAAATTGCTGCGCGAGTTACAGGATTCTAGAATGGGAATTAGGTAGTCGAATTGGGCAATAAAGTTCGTACTCCAATTCTCGCTTGCGCGGCAAGGAAGACATGCCGGCGACCCTCCTGGATCTTCAGACCAACGACCCGGTGAAACAGGTCGCACGTGTCATGGATGCAACCCGCTGACCCAAAGGATTTTCTGCTTTCCTTCCGTGGTGGCAACTCGGGACGATCCCGTCCACACGGCAGAATATTGCAGGGCACATGCGTAGGAAATGAGACCGTTGCGTGGAGGAGAGTTCAGCTGAGCAAACACAAAGGTAAAAGGCTCCAATGTAAGGTTTCCGGCCACCCCCCACCATCATAGCTGCCGGTGAGAACATTAGCAGAGTCATGTAATGTTGTGACAAGTTTGGAGTGTGGTATCTGGATTCTTACTTTCTTTGTATACGATGGAGTCGCATTCGGCGTCAAACTCCGGTGCTGGCAAGCATGTCGGTTAGTTCTCATGAATCACGAACGGGCTGATCTATGGGCTCACTTTGAAGTCCTATCCATGCGCTACTGACGGTCAAAGCTCCTTGCGTCTCTTGATCCAAGCTCCGCTCAGCATGGCGTTCACGCGGTCCGGAAGACCTCAACTGGTCGTTCTTGGTGGGACTGTGGGCAGAAGAACTCCTCGTCGAAATTGGACCTCTCTATTTGTAAGTCGGTCAACAGGCTTTGAAAATCATCGATTTTTGCAACAGCTCAACCGGGTCAAACAGCGTCGCAATGAACCAAATTCGCAAATCAGTTCCTTCTATGCTGGCGTTTGGGCCTCAAGGACGAGTGCCCCACGAGGATCTCTATGAGCTACGTCGTCTCCTCAATTCCACTCCACAGCTCTCGAAGATTGTTACAGCCATTCACAAACTACCCTCTCTCTGGTCCAGGTTGACGAAATTCGACTCTGAGTTGTTGCAAGTTGAAGGGGAGTCATATTTGCAATCTTTGACAGCATGGCTCACCAACGATGGGTTGCTCCCGTGTGACGAGGGGGGGCTTCCCCCTATGGTTGCTTTTCCAATCAATTTCCTTGTACAAATGATCCAATACATCCTGTTTGCAAGGCAACTGGGTAGTGGAGACTTCCAGTTGGCCCTGCTACCAAAGCTCCAGACAGGGGGAATTTGCGGCTTCTGTGTTGGTTTTCTCTGTGCTGTCACTGTGGCAGCTTCTCAGACTGAAGAGGCGCTTCTTGATATTACCATCCGTGCCTTGCAGCTAGCAGTCTGTGTGGGTGCCTACGTTGAAAGGGACAGGATCCGATTTGAGTCAGGCTGTGTCTCAATCAGGGGGAGAAAGAATGTACCCCAGGATAAGGAGGCGATTGAGAAGATACTTCGCAAGTTTCCCGAGGTATGCACCATTTCACTCGCTCCGATCCGCGGGATCAAGGAGCTAATTGATCAGACTTATGTTTTTGCGACTACCGA